TGTTTTACTGCATTTTTAAAAAGAGATTAACATTCATTGCATTTTTCAGTCCAATTGGGAAGACACAAATACTTGCCTGAAGTTAAGGGTCACTTTAACCCAGTCATTGATTTACCTTTTCACATCCTCCTAAGTACTGTCCACACCAGATCTTTGTCTTGGCTTTTCAATACTGTGCACAAGACGCTGAAATCAGTTGCTTCTCTGGTCAGCATTTTAAACTATCCCATTTGTCACCGCTGTTCATGGAGACTTCAACCCTTTCACAGAGATTTAAGTCACAAGGCGCCCAGATGATTCTGAAGAAACCCAGGTCTTCACACTGCCCGGGGCATAAAGCTGCTTTGGGGAGGATGACTCTGCAGGGAGGGATGGACGCGTCTGGTGTGTGCGGAGTCCTGCCCGCTAAGCAGGCAGAGAAAATTAGGGGTGTGTTTCCATTTAACATCATTCTTTGCTGACTGTCTCTCAGGAAAATTGTCTGGGAGGAGACAAAATAAGATGCCCTTTCCATTAAGCTTGTTTTCTTTCACTGTAATTGGGAGACGCCTCAAATCATGCGGTAAGGTATGCAGGTGAATTTTTTTCCTCCCCCTAGGCTGTAGAGGAAGCTGTTTCAGAGAAGCAGTAATAGGCAGGGATAAAAGTCAGCCCGCTGAATTTTCTTTCAGTGTTCCTTTTAGAGATTTGTTCTCTGCATACTGGTCTCTACTCATGAGAACCTTTTCAAGGTTGTAGTTTGTTTCTTTTTGTTGAAAGATACCCTCACAGTAAGCAGGGACACAGCTGGTGGATGGGACGAATGTTCCCAGCAACAGGTCTGGGGTCCCACCGTGTGTACCCATGTGTATTTATGCGGCGTCATAGGGACCCCTACAGAGATCCCCGAAGAGCTCTCTGTGAGCTCTCTGCTAGGGATGGTTGGCTTGCATTTTCTGAAGACTTTTGTGAGTCACCGAACTGGTCTCATTGTCTGTATTTCGCTGACTGCCCGGAGGCCAAGGTTTGTGCAGTCTGGTATTGGTTTATGGACTCCTTGCCATCACTTTGGGCAGGGGTCTTTCTTGCCTCTTCCCCCCGCCTCTCCCCCTCTCCCCTCCTCTCTTCCCTAGCCCTCTGTGCCCTCCCTTTATCCATCCTCCTCCTTCCCTCCTCCTGCAGTCCTCTCTGTCTTTATTACCTCCTTTCCCCAGCTGGGCCCTTCCTCCTGCTCGCTCTCCTCTCTCCTTCCTTCAGAGGCTGTGATGGTGCTGTGTGTCTAAGTGCTCAATTCCACCGAGCCATCAGGTACTTGCTATTCCTCTTCTGAGTCAAGCAAGTCTCCGTGACGGCTCAGAGCTGGGCGTGGTAGTTCTTGCCAACAACACCCCACCTGGTCACCCCATCTCCCACCCGCTTCGGTGGCTGTGCCTGTTCCTGGCCACCAGCCTTTGCCAGCCTTTGACGTTTCCCACCTCCATCCAGGTGGCCCTTCCTCTGGGAGCCATCTCTTCAGACCCGCCCTTTGCATGTGGCTCTTTCTAACCAGCCCCAAGCACTTTGATTTTTCTTGCGCCCTCTCCAAGCCTTTGCCTCCAGTGTTTATGTAGATGTTTGCCTATACCCTCCTTGTATTATTTAAAGGCTGTGTTTACTTTGTGTTTCAAACAAAGGAAGGCAGGGACCAGGTATTGCCTTTCTTTTCTGTCCCTTGGGTGCCTGCACATGGCTGGTTGTGAGGCTGGATTCAGGGCGGTGGTGGCTTTATTGGCGGGGACAGCTGGGGCCTGATTGTCAGGCAGGGCAGGTTCACCTGCTCGGGTCTTCCAGGCCGGGACAGTTTCAATGAATAAATGAATGAATATGAAGTTTTCACATCCTCCGTTGAGTAATAACATTGGTTTTGCCATAATTCCTTAAAACACAACAACAACAAACAAGAATAAGTGGATATTAAGAAGTGGTTTATGGGGTGTCATCCCAGAGCTTAGACTTTTATTGACAAGGGATTGGGGAAACCTCTTTTGTCTTCTGGAGTTCATGAAAGAACTCAGTATTGACTGGAAAACTGTAGCCTATTGCAGATTTAGAAAGCTGAACTTTGCAACTGGATTTTTTTCCTATGGGCTTTCCAAGGTTTCTACATATTGATGATAATATTGACTTGAAGACAATGGATCATTAAAGTTAGTCAGGAAATGCTTTACTTCTTTTTAAACTAAAGGTTATTCAGATAAAGCTTAAATGCAAGAAAGTGCATCTATTTTAAGCCTCAATTATGACAAAGTTTGACAAATTTGTGCATTCATATAATGATTATAATTATCAATAGATACTGTATCCCATGTGGTAGCCCCTAATTACATTTGATTCATTAAATTCAGTCAACTAAAATGAGAAGCAGTTCCTCAGCTGTACCAGTTGCATTTCAAATGTTTGATAATTGGCGTGAGATTGTCTACCATACTGCGCAGTATGCAGTATAAGGCATGACTCCATGACTGCAAAGATTCTGCAATGCGGGACAGCACTGGTGTAAACACATTCATCTCATGAAGAAGTTCTTTGTGCTCTTTCTCGGGAAATCCTCCATCCCTCTACGCTGGTCTCTGAAATCATGGATCTGAATTGTCACTCTGAACTAGATTTGTGTCTTCTAGGGCTTTGTACATATGTGCTCTTTGTTTGCTTTCTTTTGCTCAGCATGGGCAAGCATATGACCTACATATGCTGTGATGTGTGTAATACACGCCCTCCTCTCTACTCCTGAACAGGGTTCCATCGAATGGGTACACCACAATTCATGGATCTGCTCACTGGTTGATGACGTTTGGACTCTTTCCATTTTACTCCGACTATGAAGAAAACAGTTAAGGTTATATGGGAAGTATATGGATTGTTAAGCTGTTTCTGAAATTTATCACTTTATCTTGTGCATTTTATTTCCCCAGTAGCAGGGTAGAAGTCCTCCATTCTTGCCACTTATTACTGATTCGTAAAATTTTCTTGTTCTAGTAACTTCAGGGGGCAGGTATCGAAGTCTGTGTCATTACAGATTCTCCATTTTCCTTTCAGTTATATTAGTTCTTGATTCTTGTACTTTTAGACTTCACGCCTGTGTACATGTACGTTTGTCTTCTTTATGAATCGATGCTACAATTGTGCAACACACCTTTTTGCCCCTATTCTGAATTCTATGCGGTTAATAATGTGGCTACACCTTTTGGGGTGGGGTTTGAGAGAGGGTTTTACTATGTTGTTCAGGTTGGATTTAAACGCCCTACATAGCCCAGGCTGGTCCTGAACTTGTGGCAGTGCTCCTGCCTCAAGCTACAAGTGCTGGGATTACTGAGATGCGCTCACTTTGGCTGTATTTGTAATTATTAGAATGTGCATTATATATGTATTTCTGGCCCTTTGCTGTAAACTTATATGGATTTTAATTTAATTTGGTTATCTGTTAGATAGCAGATGCTTTAGTCTTGCCTTTTAAAATGCAGTCTGAGAATCTCTAACTTTCAATGGCGTTATCTAGATCATTTGTTTTAAAAAGTGATAATGAATAAATTTACATATTTAAAACATACAATTTGCATTTGAACACGCACACACCTGTAAATCCGTCACCAAATCTGTATTTTATATTTCCATTTATGTAAATCTTTGGCTGCTTTGTGCTTTCACTACTATAGAGCTATAATAAATATCCTGATATAAATCTTGTATGAATGTATGCTTTTATTTCTCTTGGGTAAATTCCTAGAAAGGCACTTCTAGGTCATGTGATAGGCATAGATTTAATTTTTTAAGAAATTGCCAACTTGCTTTTCAAAGCATTTGTGTAATTTTATTTTCTTACCAGCAGTGAGAGCTACATTTACTTCTTCTTTTTTGTTTTTTGCCAGTGTTTGGTATGACTTGTCTTTAGTAGCTCTACTTGGTACAATTTTTATTTCACTTGCTTTCTTCGATTCATATGTCTTCTTTTGTGATATTTCTGCTCAACATTTTTGCCTCGTTAAATATAGTTCTTCATTTTGTTCTCATAGAAGTCCCTGGCTATTACATATAGTATAGATGTTTGCATTGGCCTGTAACTTTAATTTTGTTTCCTTAGTGTTCTCCTTAGAAGACTAAATTTTAAAATTTTGAAGTTCAATTGATCACTTGATTTGTGATTCATGTTTTCTTTGTGCTCTATTTATAGAACTTTTGTCTGCTTAGCAGCATAAAGATTTATATAAGCTGCGTGTGGTAGCACATGCCTGTAATTCCAGCACTTGGGAGGCTGAGGCAGGAGGATCGTCACAAGTGTGAGGCCAGCTTGGGCAACAAAGTGAGTTCAAGGCCAGCCTTATTTACATAGTGAGACCCTGATTCAAAAAAACCAAAAAAGAAAAGGAAAAAAAAAAAGACTTCTGTATTTTCTTTGAGAAGCTTTAGAGTTCTAAGTTCTACATTTAGGTCTATGATCCATTTGAGTTAATTTTTGAATGTTGAGTGTGAGGTAATCATTTTTTTAATAGTGAAATCTGGTTGCTTTATCTCCACTTTTTCCAGACAATCCATTTTCCCGTTGAAGTGCCTTGAGATTGCCAAAAATCATTAATTTTTCTTCTTCAAATAGGTTTTGCTTTGACTTATTTCGTCTATTTCAAAGTGAATACAACAGTTTCCTTTGATCCTGTAATGTGACCAGTAAAAGCCATATAACAAGATCAGAAATCATACTACCCATTATTAAATATGTAGAATTTCTGATGAAGAGAAGCCTTGTTCCATACATTTAAATTTGGTAATGTCCACAAGTTGCAGAATTTTTTCCAAATGCAAAGGCACACTGAAGTCACACGCACGCGCACACACACACACACACACACACCCTCAATGAAAAAAAAATCCAGATCTATAGAGTTGATAGGATGATCATAATGTAAACCTTTCTATATTAGGAGTGCCAAAATAAACCAATATCTAATTCTATGACAAAGCCAGAAATATGGGAAAGAAAACCCAGTGGCTATAAAAAGAGATCTAAAATTTTAATGGTTTAAAAATAGTCTCTACATACAAGATGGCAAAATGATACAGATGGAACATTCTGCCTTTGAAGATGTGAAATATCACCTCATAGCTTAGAATAAGTCTGTTATCTTCTAGGAAATATACACCATACAATGAAATCTACAAGGGCAGATTTTTAATGTCTTCAAGTGTTACTGGTGTTCAGCAACTCCCCTCTTCCACACACGTTTATTTGTGACATAACAAAACGCTTTTAAATCTTCTTTTGGTAGTGTTCAACTTTGAAAATGATAATAGTGGTTGTTTTGAAAAGCACCTTCTATAGTTTCCACTTACGTCTTTACATCACCTCAGAGACATGCATTTTTCTTAAATCCTTTCCTGGTCCAATGATTTGGTGGTTCAACCAAGTAAGCTAATTTGGCCAAAGAATATCCTGCAAATATTGCAAATGAAAACATGTTTCCAACAAGACCAGAGTACTGTGGTCTAAAAGCTTATAGAGAGCAGGGCTTCTTGGAGAGGCCTGATGGGAGTATTTCATCTGCCCATGACGAATCTGATGGCTGTGTCAGGTCCACACTGGCAGCTGAGAGAAGACGGGGTATGGGACAGATGCTGGGACTAACTGTGAGACAGGGTGGGTCTTAATCACAAGGACACTAGCCACAGAGTTGTGAGGATCAGAGGGACCCCTGAAGCTGCTCTGAGAATCAGATCTGCATATGTGAGTTTCAAAGAGGGTGCAAGACCAAGCGAAAAGACCAGGATACGGCCAGGTGGCTGAAGGTCAGTGACCAGGGACCTGGCCGGTTTCCCTGGTAACGGGATAGAAGTATGTACTGAATGTGAAGAGTCAGAAAGGCATCTACTTACAACTGGCAGATAGAAGCATTCCTTGTTTTTGTGGAAAGGACATTCTGATCTGTCTTCATGAATTCTTGCTTACAAATGAATTTATTTTTTTTACAATGCTGTAAATATCCTTTGGAAAACCTGATGGCTGAATCCCTCATAAATGCAGAAGATTGGCTAGCCTTAGGGAAACAAATATTACCCTTTACTGTAGCTACCTCTCAGCATTGAAATAGCCAATCCCAACTGTAGACATGGTCTCTTGGTACATGGGTCTGGGTTAATGTATGCTTTCTGAAACTCGCCATCCAAGAGAGCTCTCCAACCAGAAGTGGGTGATTTGCTGCAATGTGTTCTAGGCAGTCAGTTTTGAAAGAGGTTTAAAACAAGAATAAGGTGTACAATGCTTCATTGTGTGGGAGATGAACACTTGTAAATATGCCATATTTCTCAGATTTGTGTGTGCTGGGCTGAGTCTTTACTACTACAGGTAAAGCAATATTAACAACCAGCTGAAATGTATTCTAAACAAGAAGAATTTTTTAAAACTCAAAATGCAGCATTAGGAGGTGCTTACTAAGGTGCTTCTTAGCTCATGTTTCTTAAATGGAATGTATGACACAAACATCTACCAAAAACCCCCATGAATACAGTCATCCACACACACGGACACATTTCTGTACAGCTTATGTCTTAGATACTCATATGCATACGTAGAAACCACAGAGGGAAAAAAGAAAAAGATTTCCCTCTCTAGCTTCCCTGAATTTCTGAAAGTTGTCTAACTCATAAAATGTTAAAATATTTCATCTTCGTATAAAATATCTACAAAAATAGATAACATTTACAAAAACCAGATCGTTCTTCCAGTTTTCCTGAAGTGATCATTCACACAGTCCCTCCCTTCCTTCTCTTCCCCTCAGAATGTCGCCATCTCTAACAGAGAGCGCTTGAAGAGCTGAGCGTTCCTGGACAGGTCTGTCACCTGGTGGACCATCTCCTGCAGGGCTGTGGTGCTGGGGTAATGCAGGGCGGCCATCTTGGTCGCCATCACTATAGTCTTGAGCTGTTCACAGAGCTGGTTGCTGGAGTTCATGACTTTGTTGCGAATGTCCTGCGCAGCCACCTGCCTTGTCAGCGTGTCTCCAATGAACACCAGTTTGTGGGCACTGAGGATGACGAACTTGCTGTGGGCCACAAAGATCCGGGGAGGCTGGGCTGAGCTGACACAGCTGAAGAGGGCGTCGATGGCGTTGAGGAGGGAGATGAAGTGGGTCTCACACTGGTCATAGTAGAAGCAGAGCAGCTGCCTGTCCTGAGCCCCCACGCTGCTGTTTGTGGTTGGGAGGTTCTGAGAGGGCTTCCACTTGGACATGTCGTTCTCCACAGGCTTTGTAATCTCTTGTTCCAGCAGCTGGAACTGACTCAGCTGAAAGGAAGACAAAAGTAGGGTGAATCAAGAGCCAGCAGTGTGTTAATGGAAATGAACCTGGGGGTAGAATTGAAGACACTGGTTTTCACCCCTGGTTTGTGTCAGACGCTTATTGGCTGTCAGGCCTTGGTCAAGCCACCTTGCTTCCCACACTGTACGATGCAGATGCTGGGGAAGATGAACCCCCAGGAATCCCCCAGTGCAGACCTCCTATATTTAGACCTCTGGTCTTCTCTGGCTCCTGCCTGGATGCAGCACAGAGTTTGGACCTCAGTCTTGGCACCCAGGCCTTTCTGGAGGGTAAATGAATCAATACTTACACAGTGCTAAAACAGTGTTTGGTATAGGGCTGGCTGTATGTAAATGTTTATTAAATGTTGAATGGTGCCAATGAAAGCCAAATGTTGTGATCTTTTAGTCAAATAAATTACCAACAGTTTGCTCCTTTTTGGGGGAGAAAGACATAATTCTCCAAGATGTTTAGATGAAATATGCAATTCATGGCGTTTTCCTATTTCTCCTACTCTATCTGGCAAGATGGGTGGATTCTTTACAACCAGCAGTATGGAAGGCGAATGCATGTACATATACGTGTTCTTAGAGAAAAGACCACAGCTGAGGAACTCTGAATGCTAGTAGTGCATCACAATGGTTAGTCTCTCTCCCCAGCTGCTAAAAGAAACGACCCACACAGAGTCATGTGTGTTAGCTTCTTGCTTCTCTCTTCACTGTCCCCAGCTGGAATATTATTTAAGCTGCAGTTATAATAATTCTACCAGGACTCAGGAGACCTCTCTTTGTAGGTAAGGATTATCTGTGATTGGATTTTAGTTCTCAGTCAATCCTCTCAGTCTGATGCAGGGTTGGGTTGGAGCAGGAATCTCCTCTCCTGGCTTCTCCTGAGAGAAATGCACAGCCAGTGTGACTTTTCTATAAAACCTGCTTGCTTCTTAGGAACCACTAAGGTTTCAGCAAGTTTGCTAAAACGTACTGCCCTACCTGGCCAAATGCTCATGCAAATGCAAGAAGATCCAGGGTGATATTCCAAGGTATTTCATAATAAATTATATTTCTTTCTTTTCTTTCTTTTTTTTTTTTTTTTTTTTTTTTTGTACTGGGAAATGAACTCAGGACAAGCGCTTACCAGGTGGGCACTTGTGCACTGAGCTATTGAATTATATTTCATATCGCTTATGGTTTTATGAGTAGGTGTATCAGTGTATCCTCTCATTAGATGGGGGCGCGGCTGTTCCATTTTCTAGAGGAGTAACTGAGGTTCAGGGAGGTTACAGGACTCAACTAAAGTGACATAACTGAATGGTCAGAAGGCAAGGATTAAAGCTCAGGTTTCCAGAGATAGCAGCCATTTCAAACTGTTATACACCATTCCATTTCACTTCATCTTAGAAGGCGTGTAAATCTTCAGTCCTTTTTTCTGTATTTTATACCCTTGTGTCCTTTTATGCCCAATACTCCTCACTATCTACCCCACTTATATTCAACTTTTGAATTTAATATATCCTGCTCAAAGCCCTTAGTAAATGTTATGTTTTTTGTTAAAATCAGTACCAGGGATTGAACTCATGACTGCACGCTTGCAAGACAGGCGCTTATGCCACTGAGCTAAATCCCCAGCCCCATAAGTATTATATTTTGAAGAGACAATTTCCTATCTTCCTGCCCTTATACTGAATCATACACAGGCAAGACACAGGATTTTGTTACTCTGTGTGTGAAAAGAATTACAAGAAAATGGGAACCACTGCAGGGAACAGGTCATCAGCTGAAATGCTATCATATGAAGGGCCGTGTGTGGCCCTTCACGGATTCTATAAAATTAAAGGAAAGCCAAATGAATGTGGTGGAGAGGAAAGGTCAGAAAATAGGGGAGAATGGAGCAGATACTGAGAGCGAACTTAAGAGAAGAGGATAGGGGGGAAGCAAAGGAAGCATAAGGAGAGAGAATATTGGTTCTAGTTTTCTCCAAACTAGGTCATAGCTTCATGGTTTTTTTTTTGTTTTTGTCTTTTTCGTTTTTTTTATTGGTACCAGGGATCGAACTCACGACCATAGCTTCATGTTTTGTTGTTGAATTCCTTTACTATGGCCTCAATATAAAACTCATTTGCTTGGGTGAGCTCCAGTGGGTCTTCTGTCTTGAGATGAAAAGCCTTAACCCGAGGAGCCCTAATATGTATTAACAGGCCTAGCCTGAAAAGAAGTGTCATTTGGATGTAATCCAGGTACATCCAACTGGATTAGCAAGGCCATAAACCTTTTCTTTGTTCTTACACCCTATGCTGGCAGGATCCGAATCATAGTCTTTTGAAGTTATATTTCCCCTACTAAGTTGGAAGCCTTTCCACCACCAGAGAGTTTTTGTTCTGGTTGAGCTTACCTGATGATGCTCCAGCTGCATCTTGCTCTGTTTGATGATATTCTCTTTTTCCAACAGCTCCTTCTGTTGCCTCTCAAACTCCTCTTTGCCCTGTTATTTTTCCAACATAAAGAACACATTACATCAGGCCCGTGAGTCACCTATGCTAACAATTTCATTGACAACTGCATACACACTCTCATCATGCCCCGCCTTGGCTACTTCCCCCACGTCCCGTTAGACCCTGTGAATCCCACAAGGAGGACAGGTTTCTCAGCCAGCCGTCCAGGGTCACTGTGGAAGTCGAGGCTGAAGACTAAAGCTCCTTTCCGCATGGGTTCTAAGCTACCTTACCATTTTCAGAGAGCTTCCAATGATACTTTAAGAAGTACAGTTTCTCGCGGTTCTTTTGTCATAAATTATATGTGAACTCACAAACTTCCAAATGTTTTCCTAACAGTGGCCCACATTGCCTTTCTAGTTTCTTTGAATCACCTCTCTCTCTACTCCAAGTTAGTACTTCCTGGAGTTAGGCCGTCCCAATTTGATGGCCAGTGAGGCGAATTTACCCTTCCTGAGCACCAGATGTGGCCAAGCTGACCCTGCTCCGCTCCTCTCCTCCCCTCTCCTCCCCTCCCCTCCCCTCCCCTCCCCTCCCCTCCCCTCCCCTCCCCTCCTCTCCCCTCCCCTCTCCTCTCCTCTCCTCTCCTCTCCTCAGGAGCACTGGTAGTTTAACAGTTTTCAGTGTAATTAGTGCATGGCTTTCAACCAAAAGAGAAGAATGACAGAATAAGATAGAACACACTCCAAATTCTAAGTAATGAATCTTGTCAGAGTGCTTTCAGCTCTCAAAGTGGAAAGGCAAGCTGTCAGAGTCCCAGGTCAATTTGGAACTTGGTGGAAATTCCACATGTAGATGGCAGGCTGTGATTGCACAGTAGCCCAGATGCAAGTTTAGCTCTAAGCCAACTGGAAAATGCTCAGTTGTCTCCTAAGTAAGCCTGAGGTGGGACAAGATGTCTCTGAATAATTAAATACACACACACACACACACACACACACACACACACTCACACACACACACACACACACACACACACACTACAGACCTAGAGAGGACCTTAGAAAATCCCCACATATGGAGAAGTACAATAGAAACTTTCTTTCAAATAAAGTATGACAAAGAACTGTCATAAAAACCAAATGGAAGTGGAGTTGGTATGGTCATCAGAGGACCTGCTATCCACCTTGGTGAGTCTCTCGTTCGCTAGAAATTTATCAGTGGGATCTAATCCAACCTAGTAGCTCATTCATTTTGCAAATGAAAATTAAGGCCCAAGGAAGTTAATCCATTGGCTACACAATTACTGTCAGAGCATGGCCTCAAGCCAAGGTGACAAGGCTTTCAGGTGACTGTTCTTTCTAGTGTTCAGGGTACTTCCAAATTCTCAGCCTCAGGACCGACATTAATCATGCTTTCTGCAGCCTAAGAGCCTTGTGTGCACCTCCTGTGTGAGTGTGGGAAGTCTCTGAGTCTGGTTCTTTACCTGGAGGTGGACATAATCATAATCATCCATCCAGCTCCTCTCGGAGCCATCGCTGCTGCTGCTGCAGTCAGGGGGCTGGTCCTTGCCCAGGGTGAGCGGCATTGGCTTGTTGTAGGCCTGGGCTTTGCAGTCACCCGGGTGAAGCAGCTGCATCTGGGAGCCAGCGTGTGGGTACTCAGTTGGGTTCGTGATGCTTTCAGGCCCATTCTTTAGATGCAAACTGCCAGGGCCCGGTCTGAAGAGGGTTTCTGCGTTGGTATTGATGGTGGTGGTCAGTTGCTTGGCATCATCAGGCACCGTCTTGGCCACCATCACAAATCGGTCCAGATCATCGCATTTGTTTTGGGGTTTGTTGACGGCCAGGATGTTCAGGGACCAGCTGCATTCGTTTAAGTCATGGCTGGTTTGGCTCAGGATCTGGTGGGAATCCTCCACTCTCTGCAGTTCCCTCTTCATTTTGTTGTGCAGCACGAGTTCCGGGAGGCAGGAGGCATTCGCCACGGCTCCCTTGGCGAAGTGCAGGTACTCCCGCAGGCACAGCTCCACCTTGTCCACGGCTGTGCGGATCTCGTTGATGTGCCTCTCCATGTACCCATAGCACCGCCAGTCCGTGGTCACCAGGGCCATCAGGCTGCAGACGCCTGTCTCCAGGGCCTGCTGGAGCCGGTGGAGCCGCTCGATGGCGGAGTCTGGATCCAGGAAGAGCCTTTGGTCCTGAGGCGGGGAGACTGACAGTGAGGACTCCTTTGAGGAGGTGGACGATGTGGACATGTTACTCCTGGTACTCCCCGTGCTGGAGAAAGACAAGCGGTTGATGCCATCTACCAAGTCCCGAGAGCCTTTAGAATCCGGGGGGTTGTGCAGAGGGACATCGTAAACACCATTTCTTTCCTCAGGATTTGCTTTCTCACTGGCTTCTGCTGATGGCTCCAGAAACTGAATTCCTCGGGGGATGTCGTAGGCGTCATTCTGAGCACCCACTGGCTGTTTCGGCGGCGGGGATGGGTGGCGCAGGGAAAGGTGTCTTCGTGTCACCGGCTCAGCAGCCCCCGGCCCGTCACAGCTGTACTTGGTGTGGAGGTCCTTGGCCCCTGGCTTGGCGCTGGTGGGGGGGATGTCATAGACCCCCTTGGGTCTCATGTCGGCCCTGTCGGCCTGTTTCACTGGAGGAGGGAAATCATACTCCTTTTCCCGAAGTGCCACCTCGTCTCGGCAAGCAGAAGGTGGGATGGCATAGATCTGAAAAGTAAACAAAAAACACAACTCTTACTTGTTCCACTGGCCCATGGGCGCATGTGGACACTGAGTAGGCCATGTGAATGTGGCCCAGGGTCCCCTCCTGGCTCCCCGCTCCGACAGCAGGCAGCACCCAGGGTGCCACGGGTTCCCCTCCCTAGCCAGGGCAAGAGAGCCCTCCTGGCCGAGCTGCTTGCCCCTGGGTCCCAGGCCGGTCCCTAACCACCTCTTGGGCATCCTTCCTGAGAGGCAGGGGACGCACTAACCCACTGGGCCTAGGGCCAGGACCCCTGCGGTCTCACCCTGGTCTCCCTGGTCATCACAAGCCAACTGTGTGAAGCCATGTAAGTCACCTAAGTGTTCGGAGACACCATCCCTTTATCTGTAAGAGGAGACACCCTTACTTCCAGTGGGGGGATCCCCCCAAAAAGAAACAGAATCCGTCCAGTGAGCTAACTCTTACATTGGCCAAGTCTGAAGCCCTCCCTAAACAGGAGAAGTATTAGAACTTGCCAGCCCGAGCTGATTCTCTTCTCTTCTAGTTGGCTCCCCTTATTCACCTCCCTATTTTTAAGAGGAGCCTCTAACTTGGAATCCCTAAAATTCTTCCTCTCTCTCTCTCCCTCCCTCCTTCCCTCCTGCCCTCTGTCCTTCCTTCTTTCACCAAGACTAGTTTTTCCCCTTTTGGGTTTGCCTTTCTTGTTTTATTCCAAATGACGACACACATGCACAGACACACACAGACACACACACAGACACACACACACACACACACACACACGCACTCCTTTTGTGGCTGCCCTCAGTGGCACACTTACCCCTTTCATAGGAGGGATGTCATACACCCCTTGAGGTTTTAGCTCTCCCACTGGAACCGAAAATGCAGCGCCCTTCACAGATGATGGAGGGATGTCATATACCTTAAGAGAAACGCTTTTGTCACCCACAGTGGAAAGGTCTGCCTTTATTTACCAGGTTACGTACATGCTTGATCTCTGGCAGCATTCCATGCCATAGGGACTGAGGGAATTTAAAAAATATATATCTTGTGCCCTTTGACTTAGATTGAATGTAAAAGTGACCTTACGTGGAGTATCTACCCTGTCTGATCTTTAAATTGTAATTTAAATTTTATAGTTCCAGGAATAAAATGGTAAGCCGATAAAGCAACAGAAGCTTTCTCAGATAAAACACTAGGATTTCCCGATAAGAAAAATCCAGGAAACATGATTTTAAAAAATTGGCTCAATGGCCTCTGGACTGATGACCTAGCCAAAGCCTCATATGAAATATACATAGTTTGTGAACTTGCTTTCCTCTCTGGTTCCCGGAAGGCTGCACTGAGCGTGCCCTCCCTGGGGGCTGTGCCCCTGCACCTACCCCCTGAGCGGTGTGGGAAGGAGGGATGTCGTAGACGCCCGTCTGGTATCTGGATGGGTACTCGTACACATAGCCGTGGCCGGTCCTCACGGGGGTGATCACCTGTAGGGGAAAGCACAGAGGTGTAAAATGCCAAGCCCGAATCCCGAGTGAGTCTCCTGGGCTCCTAACTGGACCTTTACCTCATCTCTCTCCCTTACAAAGAAAAGAGGAGAGGAAGAGAGTGAAGAAGGGAAGAAACAAAGGGACATGGAGAAAAGGAAGAAGAAGACAAGAAGACACGGGTTAAATTTTTAAACCCTTCTTGGATCCCCGTATGAAGCAAGTCTTTGAGCTATCTCTGTTGCTCTCATGGTCATGAAATCATCCCAGAGTTCATCGACTGAAGTCTCAGTTTCCAAACTCAGTTTCCACACCGAGACTTTGAGTCTAAATTGTGTTTACGCTTAGTGTTTAAATTAGGAAAGCCCTAGAGGATCCTCCCAGAGAGGTCCAAGGCAAAGCAGGCCGATTTTTTTTTTGGAAGGCTCTGAAACTTTGTAAAGCAACTAAGCCAACAGTTTGGCCACTTAAAATTCCTCTCATAGCTTCATCTAGTAGGCCTCTCCATCTGACATTATGATGATGATTATAATTAAAATTCCACGGGTCACGAGAGTGCTTCTACAAAGCCAGTGCTCCACAGTGCATCCCTTAGAAGCTTCAGGAAGCTTTCAACTTAACTTAAGAAACAAATGAAATACAGTTGTCTCTCACGGTGCATACCGGATGGGCTGGGGGACCCTCTTCAAGATACCAAAACCCATGGATGCTCAAGTTCCTTATAGACCATGATGTAGCATTTGCATGGAATGAGCACCAGTCTCCTGACCTCTGCTCTCTGATCATTTTCCCATTTGCACCAGGGAAGCAAACATCCCTACAGCTCCTGCCTCCTTGGATGGCAGGAATCAAACACACTCACTGTGGCTCTGGCATCTGAGCCGATGCCAATGAAATGACTGTCACCCTTGGGACTCCTGTGTTCTGTCTGCCTACAGCGCTGGTACCCTAAGCATGGGTACAGACATTATTTGAACTTCACTCATTTTGCAATATATAATCCTCCCCAGGGCTTCTGAATTGCCAGCATTTTGGTTTTGCCTTCCTCCCACCCCCAGGCACCAACCGTGTCCATTTCATGAGCTGCCCATGACATCTCTGAGAACAGACACTGCAAATTAAGAAGCGTCAGTTGTTCCCGAAGGAACCTTCATCTTTTATCCTTTCTCTAATGTGAAAACCTCAGCATCAGGCTGCCTACAAAACTATGTAGAAAATGCTATATGCGTCTGTCTTGTGTCAAGACAGGTGGAACTCAGCCAGCTGTACCAATGTCTTCTCCCTGGGGGCTCTAAGATGCTGTTAAAATCCCGGTGCTCCCAGCTGAATATTTCTTGCATTGAAGGTGCAAAGAGATTGGCATGCACTGAGCATCTCCTTGAAGTCTCTCCCTGGGTCTAAGGCTTGTCGGTGCGGAGGGCCCACTGTAAACCAGGATGCCCTCTGCTAAAGCAAAACACACCGTGTTCCTCATGCCCTTCTGTAAGTTTTTGTTTTTTCTTTTTCTGTACTCACTATTGTCCAGAAGAGGAATAAAGAGTCTCTCTTAGTCTATCTCATCATCTCCTCTATTTATAACTCTATTTCGGCTTCGCAATAGAACCTGCTCACAACACAGCTTTTGTTCAGCCTACACGGAGCCCTCCCAAGGCTGGCGGCTTGGGAATGGAGCTAATGCGGGGCCCGGCTGGCGGTGCTGCAGGCCAGCCTCTCTGTGCACCCTGCTTTTCAAAAGGGGAGGGAGCAGCAGGTGAGGGTGGTCCTGGCTTCTGGAAGTGGCACCAGGTGACTTGTGAACACAGGACCTGACCCTGTGAAAAGGTCCCTAGTGAAGCTACCCCTTCCCGCAGCGACCTGCACTGGCAGAGCACGTTCATGCTTCTCGCTATTTAACATCTCACTTCCTGACAAATGTCACAGAGCCCCAACTTGCTTTCTCTTTCTCATTTAGAGGCTGCCTGTGGTCATCTGGTTTTTAAAAACTTCACATTCCAAACCAGTCATTTTCCTTGTTTATACATTCAAAGAAACAGATGGTGAAAACCGCAGGGGGAAAAAGCCAACAAAGTACAACCTCCTGACTCCAGCATCCCGATGGCACAGACCAACTCGCACTGGCCTGCAAATGGCATTTCAGAGGACCAGCGTTTTCCATCTGGTCGGATCCATCCAGGGCACTGAGTGCTCTGTGCGGTGACATCTGGAAGAGCGGAGAGCCAGAGCTCCTGGGCAGCCGCTGCCTTGACCCCTTGCCTGGGTGGTCTTCACGCCAACTGCGTGTTCTCTCCTTAGAGGAAAGTGCTGACCGAGCTGTGCCTTACACAGTCTCCAGTTCTGCGGTTCATTAAAGCCTGGTACACAGAAACCTCTCTGTCACCTCCTCACTCTACCTCCGAGCACCACGGTCTCCTGGGCATTTGCATGGAGAGGCATTGAGGGAATTGCTACACAAAGGGTATTTTCCAACTAATTTTCTCAATGAAATCAAGTCAGGTTTTTCATTTCCTTTTTCTTCTCCATTTGTTTTTCTTTCCTGAATTCCTTGCATTCTCTATATGCATTTATAGTTCTGAGGGCTTTAGCCTTAGGGATTACCAAACTGACCTCTTAATTCATGAGTGTTGTCTGGAAGAGGGCTAAACTGTGAGGTCCTGGGGGGACTCTGTGGCCACACTCGACTGCGACTTTGCACTTTCTGATGTGGCCTTTTGGGCCCTGTCCCATGAGGCATCCAGCCTTGCTCAGATGTTACTACAGTGGTCTTGTCAACCAACAGGACAGTCCCAAGGCACAGACATGGGGAAGAGCTACGAAGCAGGGGTACATTGTTGCTGAGTGAGGTGATGCATGCCTGTAACCTCAGCATTCCAGAGACCGAGGCAGGAGGACTACTGCTAACTCAAGCCTGGTCTACATAGTGAGTTCCAGGCTACTTGAGCATAAAAATAAAAGAACAAAACAAAACAAAATCAATGAAAAAGGCTAGACCCTAAGTATTTTTGTGTGCTTTGCTTTTCTGTCTTTTACTAATTAGTTATCTAATGGGGGTTCTGTGTGATACTCCACACATGCACAGAGCATTTAGGAAAGGCTGAGTCCATTGAGTAAATCTCTAAGGCTGGGCCCTGGCACGATAGGCTCAAAGGACCAAGGCTTGGGTTACATTAGCCCTCTAATCTGTTTACATAAAAACAAGAAAACCATCTCAGCTCGCCCCACTGCACAATTTAATGATGTCTGACTCAGCACATTTGCCGCCTCAGGTCTTGGCTCCGGGAGCTGTGTTTGTAGGCCTGCGTGTCCACAGGTTCCATGCCCATCTACACTTAATCTCAGATGGAAAATGTAGGGGAAAAGCCACATCTCTACTTTCCTTGTCATTCATTATTCCTCGGACAGAACAGCAGAGCCACTGTATATGTAGCATTTACATTGCAAGAAGTATCATAAGTCATCTAGAGAGGATTTAAAATCCACAGGAAGATGTCCTTAGGTTTTATGCAAATACTACGCAATCTTGTATAAGAGATTTGAGCAGCCATGGATATTGGTACCCTTAGGAATCCCAGAACAAATTCCCAGGAAGTTCAGAGGGATGATTTTACTTTTGTCTTGGGGGATTTTGAAAGCCATGCATCCTGCAACTTCAGGGTGTAAAGAGGAGGAGAGTTTCTATTTGGACAGTGGCAGGCAGGGGGCAGGGTAGACTGAGAAGCAACAGATGTGAGACTAAGTGGGCTGGAACAGAGGCTTCAGGGTCCTTCATTGATGTCTCCACGTTTGCCTGGGCTGATACCTACAGCAGAGCAAGGACCTACACCCAGATGTTTGCAAAGCCAAGCAAGCAGGGCATGGAGAGATAACTCACATCTACTAAAGAGGTGGCCATGCTTCGGCCCTAGCCAGCTGCTGCCCTGAAGAAATTCTCTCTCTGTGGTCAGATCTTTTGCATTTTCAGGAGAAGCTGACTAATGTGAATTTTTATGTGAAATCTCCTGATTTTCAAAATTGGCTTAAAGTTTTAAAAGTGTCTTGAACAAATTAAACACATCTCTGGGCCCTGGGCTGCCAGGCTTCTACATATTTTGGGGCTCAATTCTGAGAGCACTGAGGGTAGCCCAACACTCGTATCAACCCTATCTCTCAGAAAGACCCCCTCTTTCCTCCTTTCCTGTGTGCCTCTACCTCTTGCCTTTTTCTGGAACATTCTTCTTTCTCTCCTCATATCCCCATCATTCTGTTTTCTCTGACACAGGAACGAGCTTCTCCCTCTCGCTGCATCCTCAGGATGCCGTCCACACATCTCCGATGTTACTTGTCAACTGTGATCTCACTGTGTCAGAGGGTCCTGCTTTCATTTCAGCACACAGAAGTCACAGGCCACTTTGTATTTGCATAGATTGAAAGTGCAGGGCTTACCACGGTGCCTTCAGTAGAGGAAGTGTAGATAAATGCATCCACTGAAAACATTCATACAGTGAAGGAAAACTCAAAACTTCCTGTTATGGTTTGTGTCTGGATGTCACCCCTGCCCGAGGCCTCAGCTGGACTGTGAAGGGGTGGGCAGGATTTTCCTGGGTGCCTAATCTAGAGTTTGTGATTGGTTCATTGTGCAGTGCTGGGATCAGGTGTGTGAGTCCTACACCCGCCCTAGAGCAGGTAGCCTGCATGCAGTGTAAGGGAGGGAAAAGGTTTGCTTCCCTCTTTTGTTCTTCTTGCTTTTGCTGTCCTCCACTCCCATGAACTGTTGATCCTCTGCCATACCACCCTGCCTTGGAGCCAACTGTTTGAGGACTAAAACCTCCACAAACTGTGAGCCAGTTTCCTCCTTGAACCTTGGACATCAGATATTTTGTCTCAGCAATGAGAGAGAAGTAATTATGATACCGCCCTTTCTTTCTTTGTTCTCCCTGGTGCTGGGCATTGAACTTCAGACCTTTATACTGAGCTACCTCTCCGGCCCTTTTAGGTTTTTGTTTGTTTGTTTGTTTTGTTTTGAG